ATTAAAATTCTTAGTGGAGATGTCAAAAAGCTAATAGGATTCTGTCAGAAAATTTGATTGCTTATCAAGGCTGCTGTTCCAGTTTAGAGAAGACAATTTAATCAACTTCTTGTATTTTAGATTAAGTTTAATGATTTTGCTCTTTATATTGTACCCTAAAATCACAAATTTCTTGCCAAACCCAGCATTATCCCAAATTTTTTTAATCCTATTTACCAAGCAAGAGTTATCAGAATCTGTACAAACACCATTTTCACAAACAAAATCCTTGAATTTCGATTTCAATTTGCAACCAACATTAGTAAAAGTGGGTTTGTATTTTACTTGTGACTTGCGAAGGATAAATTGATAGTATCTTAGAATATCACCGTTAGATGGAAGCTGTCTCTGAGGTAAATCCCTCAGTGGTTACTTCAATAGGTAAATATACCTCAACCTTTCTGTATTTTTCCGTTTTTTCTTATTCTGTTCTATCGTATTTTTTTTTTTAGCTGTTCTTCCCATTTTTATACGAATTTCAAAATAATCAGTTTTTTAACTAAGTTTATACTAAATTTTACACTTGCATTAAAAATCTATGAAGTCGTTATTTGCTCTCGTATCATATTTTATCTAAGTTTATCGTTAAGGCTTTTATAACCGTTTACACAAGAATTTCTTCATGCACAAATTAGAATTCCTTCGTGCACAAATAATTCCATTTAGAAATTTTTTCCTTCAAAAAAAATTTCTAAATGGAGTTATTTGTGAACCAATCCATGAGGAATTATACCAATTAATAATATTGTCCAGAGGGAATTATATCAATCGCTAACAATGTTCATAGGGAATGATCCTATGAACATTGTTTTCCTATTCTTTAATAATGTCCTATGGGAATTATTTGTATACCAATTATTGCATCATATTAAAACATATTGAAATACTAGATAGCGCTGTTTTTATGTAAATACTCATGTGTAAAATACCGTAAAACTCAGAATTTACATCTATCACTTCTAGTCATTAAAATAAAATAAAAAGATTTAGTAACTATTTAGGACCTATAGAATGGGGATCAGTGGAGAGCACATTGAAATTTTAAAAAAAGTATGTTTTTGGGACACCCTAATATATATATATATATATATGTATATATATATATATATACATATATATATATATATATATATATATATATATATATATATATATATATATATATATATATATATATATATATATATATATATATATATATATATATATATATATATATCAAAGGACTAAAAAAATATATAATAGTAAATATATGCAGTCTAAAATGATAAACAATATTAAAATATAATTAAACTTTTTCCATAAAAAAAGGAATTTGGTGACAGATATCACCCAACGCAACACACTTCTCCAATACTCCTTTTCACTCTGAAACTGTTTAACAAAATTGCAATTCTGGAGCTGCATTCACTTCGTTTAACAAAGATAGAGGTGTTCAGCTAATTGCTTATGCTCACTGATTGTCTTTTAAGAAAGAGGTATAAAAAAAGAATAAAAGAGTATATTGTGACTTTTTTTTTTAAGTTTTTATAATTCATTTAAAAAAAGTTTTCTTAATTAATTAAAAAAAAAAATGATTTCTTGCTGGCAGGTCTCTTTTAACACCATGCCCCCTCAGCGGTAGAGTATGTTGGGCATATTTAAAGACCTGACTGTCAAACTTGTATAAATATAATAGCCAAAAACATTCTTTAAAAACTCTTTAAAAGTCTTTTAAAAAAGTAACTTGCTTGTGAAAGAGTTCCATCTTATGAACCTCCTCATGTTAGGCAAACGTTCTCTTTTAATTTTTGACATACTGAGGTTTTGATTGAATTGAATTGTAAAAACTGTATTTTTTGATCGACTAAATGTTTAACCTACTATATCTTGATTTGATTGGAACTGATTTTTTGATTGACTTGAAAAACTAAGTCTGTTTCGGTTTGTAACTTGTATATTTTTTAATTTAAAAGAATAAATTTTAAAGCTTGAGAAAGAGATTTCTTTTTAATAAAAAAAAGCTTGCTCAAATAATTGCGCTTTTTGGAGCATAACATGAAAAAATTAATTTTTTAGATTAAATTAATAAGTTCAAGGTTTTTTGTAAATCTAACTGTGTTGAACGGTAATGTCCTGAAAAAAATCATTTTATTTTAAAAAAAGAAATTCATAAAAATGTCATTTGATCGAATTAAAAAATTTTTTTTAAAACATTTATGTTGACGATGATATAAATCGAATTGTGTAATTTAAAAAAATTTAAATTAAATGTGTAATTAAAAAAAATTTAAATTAAATGTGTAATTAAAAAAAATTTTAGAATGATTAAAAACAGTGTTAAAGAAAGTTTTAAAAAAAGATGGTGAATATTAGCGCTTTTAGTGTAATTTTTCAAACATAAAACATCAATTTAACATTTCTTTAATTTTCAGTTGTATATTTTTATATGATATGAGGATAAAACTCATAAATAATTGTTGAAAAGATTAAGGAAGGAGGGGAGATAAAACCTCCTGTAGCTACATTGTAAATAGTTAATAATATAAATTAACATTGTAGACAGTCAATAACACAAAAAAAGATAAAAACACAAAAAGAACATAAAACTTAAGTCTTGATTTCTCTGTGCGTTCCCAGTGTCATTTCAAATGCAGAAATATAAAAATATATATTATAGATATAAATATATATAATAATACACATATGAAATGATATATATATATAAATATATATACATATATATATATATATATATATATATATATATTATATATATATATATATATATATATATATATATATATATATATATATATATATATATATATATATATATATATATATATATATATATATATATATATATATATATATATATATATATATATATATATATATATATATATATATATATATATATATATATATATAAGCGGTAGTGGTGTAGTGGTAGAGCGCTCGCTTCATAAACGAGTGGTTCCGAGTTCGATCCCCACCACGTCCCTGGTAGTACCGCGCTCAACTCGTTTCTCCGCGCAGCGGCCTTGTTCGTCAAGGTTCGTGTTTCGGAGTTATAGAGTTGAGAGAGGGTTATAGCCACAAAATAAGTAGCCTCCTCGTCTGTAGTGGCCTTCTCGGCCTTGAGGAGGTGAAGTAAAATTAAAAAATATATATATATATATATATATATATATATATATATTGTGTTTTCATAAATACTATTTCATATATATATATCACAAATAATATATATATGAAATGGTGTTTATGATAGCACGAAATGATATTTATGAAAACACAAAAAGGCAGGCTTATGAAAATAAATTATTGTTCGTACTCGTAATATTACATTTATATTATCTATTTATCTTCATATTAGTCCAAATAATATAAAGGTATAAAGGGCTAACATTCTTGAAATTATTTTGTTTCTAGGATCCAATCAAGGTAATTTTTTTGCAAAGCGTCATCATTTGTCATATACGTGAATATAAATCAAGTTTACTTGAGTATATTCATGTATTTACTTACTTAAAGTTTAAATAAAGTTGATTAATGAAACAGATTTGTCGTTGTTTTTTGTTTTTTTTTTTAATCTTAAAGCTTTTTAACACTTGCAAAAACGAATTTTTTTTTAATGCAATTTTAAATCTATCAATTAAAACAACATTAATTAATGGTTATGGTTAAATTAATTTAAGGGCTATTAATTAAGTTTAAACTAATTGTTTAAAAAATATATTGTGTTTATATTGGTTTTGTCTTTAAATCAAATAATGTATAAAAGCGAAAAGGAAACGGAACATAAATACTTAATTATTACAGATTATAAATAACAAAAAAACAAAAAATGACAATACTAAAAATAGCTTTGTTTGTTATGTTAATGTTTTTTGTTACTCGCAAGTGCTATTCTTTTGACAATTTTTTAATTTTTAATTTTTTAAAATAAAAAAAAATTTAGATTGTAATGTAAAAATTAAATTATGTTTTCTAAAAAAAATTAAAAATTTTTTTTAGAAAACATAACATCATTTGACGCTCCAAACTAAGACTAAGTCATGTTGAAACTTTGGTTTCAATATCATCAATAAAACTTTTAATAAAATTTTTTTAAAACTCATGTTTTTTTGCTCGTAATAACTACGTAAACCACTAATGACTCGTAAATAACTTGCATGTATAAACATACTTTTTCATTCATTATTATAATTTTTCTTTATTCGACACTTCTTGCTTATTTCATTAAATCTCGATTTTTTAAATTTTGTTTTTATATTTTAAATTTACATTTTATGCAATAACATAGCATAGTTTTATATATATATATATATATATATATATATATATTATATATATATATATATATATATATATATATATATATATATATATATATATATACATAGTTTAACAAACATGATGTTAATTTGTGAAAATTATCCGAATATAGCACTGTAGTGAATTCTGTAGCGTTACAATTGTTGCTTGTCCAAACTAAGTTGTTGCATGGAATCTTTTTTTCTAACCCTATTGTCAGTAGAGCGCAAAGTATGTTCATAAAAAATTTTTAAAAGCTTTTACTATTCGATATATACACAATAAAAGTTATCTATTTGTCTGTTTCGTACTATTACAAGTTTTATCCTGGCCGAGGTTTAGGCAATTCTGCCGTGCCGAGTTTGCTACAAATAAAATTACTTCATAAAATAGTTTACTCAGTTGCGTCATTAGCCTAATCAGATTATTAATTCTAATGACGTAAAAAATGGAGGAAAAAAATACAATTTTTTTAATATAAAAAGACATCAAATCATGTGATCCAAGGGCTTCAAAATTAACCGATTCTCGGCGGGGTATATTTTCTACCTATTATTAAAACTAGTATTTTTATTACTGCCTTTATTTTTGTTACTGTTATGGCTATTGTTTTTGATGTTATATTTGTTTGTTTTTTTTGTTTTTTTACATATCTTTAGTTTTACAAAAGTTGTTAATAAAGGAATGACAAAAGCTGAAATGATCTTAAAGGTTGGAATTTTTAACACTTATATGATCCACGATTTAATAGTGCTTACTTATTTCCAATCTTTTTTTACCAACATTTTATATTATTACTGTTGTTTTTATTCGATCTTCTTTTTGGTTAACTTTTAGTAATTTCGTTGTTAATTACAACAAATCAGAGATTTTTTTTTTTAAAACAAAACCACACCAAAGACATTTTTTATGCACGCTGGGCTTTATTTGTGAGTTTAATATTTAATTACAGCGATTTTATATCCTCTGATAACATTTAGTTGACTCCTCCTTGACTTTTATCTCCTGCGGTTGCAACTTTAAGAAAAAAAAACTTTTTAAGGTTCTTTATTTTTTATCAATCCTTAATTGATAAAAAATAAAATCAAAATTAAGTCAGTTGATTTTAAAATTATAAAATACATTTAGAGCACATTTAACCAACTATGAAAAATACTTTTTTTATAGATTGTTATGTCTTCTCATACTACTCAAGTCAGTTTTGTGGAAAGTTACATAAAGTTGTTAGCTGATGCTGACACATCAAACTTTCAGAAACTTTTAGACATGAAAGTGAGTTTCTACACCTTTTACTAAAGCTTTGTTTAAATTTTCAAATTATTTCAGCTATATCTTTTGTTAAATGTTTTTTCAGGGTCTGAAAAGGAGCGAACAGAATGCGTTACTAGATATTTTTAAAACTCAGATGGCAAGTAATCCAAACAACAACGAGAACTTAAAGGAAACCTCAGTGAGCGACTCAAGTCGAATAAAACGTTTAGAAAAATTAATCAAAAAACAGTTTTAACAATTAATTTTTTTATTGTATGTTGCTGTTTTTGAAAAAATATTTATTATCTTTTAAGAATTTGTTATGATTGGTGAGTGACTCGCGTTATTAAAAAAATACTTTCATTCGGAATTTATTAAATCATCAAAATTCATTAAATGCTTCAACCGTGGCTTTAAAATATTGTCTTTCTCATACCCTGGATCGAAATTTTAAAAAATGATAAATTTTCTTTGGCCCTTAACCTTTTTAGGTGTTGAAATACATTTTTAATTTTTGAAAAAAGGTTCTGAGTTATTTAATTTTTTATATTTTGGTTTATTTTTTTACTTTAACGATATTTATACAGGATCTTAATGTTTTCAGTTATGAAAACTCAATATGTTTACGTGCTAAAATATGAACTATTAAAAAATTAAGTTAAATGAATCAGTTTAAAAACAGTAAAGTACGTGATAAGATAGTTTTGATAATTATTTCAATATGTGAAATTATGTAAAAAAAAAAATGTTTGTTAAAAAAAATAAGTAATTCTTTACTATATTTTTAAATATGGTGAATTTCGGAGTAATCCAAATGTTTATTGGTAACTCGTTAAAAAGGCTCCTGCAAAGAAAAAATAGTTTTTATTTTTGAAGTCTCAAATAAATACCTTGTACGTGCCGTTAAAAATGAATTGAAAATTAACTTGACTGTTTGTTTTTTTAAGTTTTATCAAAGTATGAGATGACGTTTTGATTCTTTTCAATAACCTAATCGAACAATTGTCGCATTTTTCTGATATGACGGGATTTTTTTTATTGCTTAATACTGGCGTATTCAGTAAAAAATGGCATGATTTTTTACTGAATACGTCGATTTTTTTGCTGAGTTACGGGTTAATTGAAAAAATATGAGCATAAAATAAAAAAGTATTGAATGCATTTATTTTTAATTTGAGAGAAAGTTGTTGGAGATAAAGTCTTTCTAGAAAATTTGTCGTGTTGGTTCTTATAAAATTTAAACAAACAAAGATAAATTTTTAGGCTCGTTGCCTACTTCTGTTATGTTTGTTTTTTGGTTGTTGTTGTTTTTTTTTTACGCGTGTAAGGGGAGGGGATCCGTGGTTTTTATGATACTTTTAAAACTGATTTGTGGTTTTTTAATTGTCATGGTACTTAGTTGTTACCTTGGTTACTTATTAGAGTATTTTGAAGAAAGAAAATAATTGAACTTAAATGGTTTTAATTCTTTTTTAATGTGTAATTTCACGTCACGCGTTGTTTTATTTCAAGTTTTCAGGGTGTAAGTAAGCTTAAACAAAAAGAATATTTTTGGAACATAAAAACAAACGCACAAAAATAACTCTGTAGTTGTATTCTTTAAAATCAACATCATTTCATAATCCCCTTGACAAACTTTTTTTTTTTTTGAACAGACAATATTTGAATAGAAATTAAAGAGAACATGTTTCATTCAATGAACGTGTTGCATGTTGCTTATAGCGGATTATCAAGGATCTATAAGCATATCTGTGAAAAATTTTTAATTTTTTTTGTTATTATTGATTTGAAAGCTCGTGCATGCTTAATGCAAATATTCCATGTCGTAAACTTAAAATCTTACTGCGACACTAACGGTTAGTAGATGATTCGTACGTAAATTAGCAGGTCAGGTCAGCCGTAAATAATATATTTATGCAATTAATTTTTATTTTCATAGTAATGATTTATTGTTGTTGTTGCTGTTGTTGTTGTCGTAGTAGTAAATTAAATTGATTTTTCAGTTTTCTAATATAATTATATTTTAATTATTTACTTTTTTTTTTAATCTTTAAAACTGAAAAAAAATTTATTTGACGAATAAATTATTGACTATAAATTTAGATGCCTAACTTGACTATAAATTTAAGCGTCTAATTCGAAATAATAAATTTATTTGAATTATTTTTTCCTCCTTTTTTAATTGAGTATATATATATATATATATATATATATATATATATATATATATATATATATATATATATATATATATATATATATATATATATATATATATATATATATATACAGGGGTGCCAAAAGCAATTTTTGGTCTTTGAGATAGCTGACATCACATGGAGCAAACTCCAAACATTTAAATGTTTATACTTATGCCAAATAGATTTTAAAATTTTATGGTATTATCTCTAAGCGTTCAAAAATTATGAAGATATAAAATTTGCAACCCCCTCAAATTGAGGGGTGTTTAAAATTTATATAGTCATAATATTTGAACGCTAAAATATTTTTCTATGAAATTTAAAATTTAGTGATGAATATAAATCTAGTTGAAAATAGTACAAAAAATATTTCATCAACTTGTTGCTATCACGTTTGGAGCAGGGGGACAAAAGTTTGGGGCTTTTTTGTTCCCAAGTTCCAATCATCGTAATTTTTTGCTAAGCATCTTTATTTTACACAAGTTTAAATATATTAATGCTTGGAGTTTGCTAAATGTCTGAAGTTATTTTCATACTTTGATTTTTGTATAATTTATACTTGTATATATATATATATATATATATATATATATATATATATATATATATATATATATATATATATATATATATATATATATATATATATATATATATATATATATATATATATATATACATTTATATATACATATATATTACTTATTAATTAGGCGGGATTTTTTTAAAGTTGTTTATATATGTTTCATATTTTCATTCTTGTTGTTAAAATTTTTATTGATTTGACTCTTTCAATCCAAAATGTTCAGTTGTATCGTTCCAATTCGTTACGGTTACTTTCTGTTGTCCATTTTTAGCGCGATCAAAAGTTAATTCTTATAAACTTCTTCTTTCTGTCATTTTCATTTTATTTTTTTCTGCATGTTTTTCTTTCTACATCGGTTAGCAAAAAGATTTCCAAAAAAATTGAACACAATCGCAAAAACAGTTTCATATTTAAAATCATCGCCACTGAAAATCTCTACAACGGTTATAAAGTTACTGCCCAAAGTGTCATCAAGTTTGGTGAACATACTTAATTCACTTTTCTATTGGATCATATGTGGTATTTGAATTTCTTAAGCCAAACCATGATCAAATGAAGAAACTTAAACATTTCTACATTTTAAGTTACCCAGTGGGCATTTCGACGTCGAACGAACGTCGAGCGACGTCGGATCTCGACGTCGGATCGACGTTGGGTTTACGTTGGAAATGGAAATGTTATTTGACGTCGGATAAACTGACATTGCGCGACGTCGGCATTCCGATGTAAATCCAACGTGTTTTTTGAAAACTAAAAAACGTTGTCTTAAGCAGATATCGAACCTCGGTCTATTAGATACTAAATCCTACGCGCTTACCACTACACCACAGTAACATATTAGATTAAGTGTTTATTTAGTAATCTATACTTGTAGCTATTTGGGAATTATTACTTTGATAAGAAATAATTTTGTTTAAATATTATATAAATATTAAAACGAATAGTTATATATTATAAAAAATGTATACTCGAAAATGTTAATAGTTAAAAAACTATGCTAGTGCATCATACAAAACCTCATGATGTTTTATCAACCATTATTCAAACTTTTTTCCATTAATAAAAAAACACGCTTAGCTCACATAATTATTGAAGAGCGCAATTGCACACATATTGTTGGGTTTGGATTAAATTTTCATCAGCGATGTCTTACGACGTTGTTCCGACGTCGTTTTAAGGACGTTGGATTGACGTCGGAAGACGTCAAAAGACATCGGAGTACGTTAATATTATGACGTTGCCCGACGTCTTTTTATCGACGTTGGATCGATGTCAGTACTGCGACGTTTTTTGGACGTCTTTTATAAGATGTCGAAACAACGTCAAATTACATCGAAACGACGTCAGGGGATGTTGAGATAAAGACATCGCCCGACGTCATTTTACTGACATCGGAACAACGTCGGAATAGGTCTTTTGACATCTCTGATGAAAATCGTACGTAAATCCGACGTCGGATTGACGTCGGGTGCCCACTGGGTAAGTTCTCACTTTTTAACTATTTTAAATTGCATAACTTTTAGCCATGTCTTCTCAAGTGTCAGATTTTTAACTTTTACTACTAATAAAAAAATGTTCGTTACTAATGGATACTAATATTTGAGGCTGTAAATAATTTTTATAAAAAAACTTTATATATTTAATTTTAAGCTTTTTTTTTATCAAATTGGCATTTTAGTGCACTATTAACTTATATATAATTATCTTTGTTTGTTTTAAATTTTAATTCTAAAAAAAACATAATTAAAATTCAAAACAAAAAACTAAAAAATTTTGTAACAAAAAATGTAAATATGCATCTGCCATTAATTTCTGTAATCTAATCTTCTCATTAATTTCTGTAAGTTGTTAAAATTCAAAAAGCTCCATTTTCGATTTAAGTTAATGAGGTTCAATATTTTTTATTCATTTAATAAACGCGTTCATTTTAAAACAAACTATTTATTTGAAAATTAATTTATAAAGATATTTTTCTTGAGAAAATTATTTTAAAGAAATAAATTTTCAAACTAAAGAAAAAAAAATTCAAAAGAAACAAAAAATCAAAGATCTTAAACCTAGTTCAGTTTTGCCCGCAATTACTTTTATACTTAATAGCTATTATTTACCATAAATAATAAATAACTTTACATTAATAAAATAACTTTATACAAGTAATTTATAATTTGCGCAAGTTAACATTTACTTAGTGAAATAATATTTCTTATAACAATTAACACAACTGTACTCATTAATCGGATGGAGAAATGAATTTATCATTCTTCCATCCGAAAAGAGATCATCTTACAAATAATATTTACTTTGTCTATTGAAAATATAACTCCACACAAGTTAAAAATACTTAGTTACTTAACACTGTTTTTGTTAAAGTAAAATTTGTAAATAGTTAAATTTTGTTCAAGTAAAAATTAGAAACCGTGTAAATTGTATAACTTTGTTCAAGTAAAAATTGAAAACCTAGTAAATTGCTTAAATGCGAAGTTATCCGAAAAATAATTTTTTTTACCATGTAATTTAAAATGATTAATTTTAACACAAATTCAACTTTAATATGTCTGGGATAGTGCAAATCAGCGTAACTATCATTGACTACTTTAATTGAAAATTAATAACTTTAACACCAAATATCTATTGTTGACATTACATAGAATAGAATAAAACTCACTATGTTAAAATGAACAAAAAATCTGTTGAAATAAAAAAAAGATAAAGTTAACTTTCTCCTGTAAAAAAATTTGTATTGCAGATACGCGGTATCATCCATACCTAATTATGCGGGTTTGCGCTAACTCCACGATATTTCTTTCTTTACATTTCTGTGACGTTAAATATTTTAATATATATATATATATATATATATATATATATATATATATATATATATATATATATATATATATATATATATATATATATATATATATATATATATATATATATATATATACATTAAAACTTTTAGTTTGGTCTAAAAGTACATTGAGAATGATGCATAATGCGCATGATCAATTGATACCATGCGTCATGGCATCAATTGATACATCTTTTAATAATATTTTAGTCTAAAAGTACATTTAGAATAGTGCGTCATTATTCACGCATGCGCATGATGCGCGTCATGGCATTAATTGATCCATTATTTGATAACATAATTACACTCTCTTCACGCTTTTTGGATTTTGCTCAGAATAAAATTGTACAAACAAAATAATTTTAAAAAAATTAACAGCTTAAATTTTTAAAACATTAAATCTACAAATTTGTTCTAAAAAATTTTTTACATTCCTATAAACTTAAATGATTTTATAGCAGCCGTGGCGCAGTGGTTAGAGTTCTGGCTAGGATCCAAGAGGTCTGAAACTTGATGCCGGCTCTAGCCAGATAGGTAACTTTGGTATGGAAGAAGGCATAAACTTCCACGTTAATTGCTCTTCCGCATTGCTCTATATCTTTATAACCGCAATAACAACAACAAAAACTTGTAAATACATTATAAAATTTTATGCTATCTGCGTTGTAAATGAATTTTCAGATTTAAAAGTGCATATCACCCTTTAAAACCGCAACGTTGTAACTGGCATACGATATTTAGTAGATTTTTACAAACAAAACTTAATAATCAAACATTTCGAATTTTGACAAAACACAGACAAACAAGAATTTTATTCATGTAGATTATTGAATTTTGTTAATGATCTCATTTTACCAAAAATGTCAAATACGACATTACGTTTCTAAACGTACAATATTTGAGTAAATAAAAATTTGTCATAGCTAATTTTAAAAAAACTAAAAAAACTTAAATTAATATATAGACATTTTTCAAATTCTTTTAACAAATAAAATATATAAATATTAATGGCTTTGCAAAGAACGCATATTAAGTTTTGATAATTCTATATGCGGATATATTGTAATGCGAGTTCATAAAAGCTTTTTTGACCTGTGATTCTTTTCATGGAATTCCTATTTGTACCATGCGTTAGTTCTACTCTCATATATTTTGATTAAAAAAATATAAGTGGAAATTGTTTGAACTCGCAAATGATTAATTTTTTCTTGGTAAAGATTTTTTGGTAAGAGTATAAATGCCAATATTTACCATTATGAAATCTCTTAATGAAAACTATTTTTGTTATATTCTAAAGCTAACTTAGTGTTTCTTTTTTATTTATTTATTCGGAAGCATTACTTAGTTATTTCTTGTTTAAATCCAATTATCTTTTTAACTTTAAATTATGGTTTCTTAAAGCTCTTGATTTAAACTAAAATAAAACTCAATAAAAAAAAAAACTTTTTTTAATGTTTTTTTTTTTAATTTTTTGATCTACTATTGAAGCTTTGTAAAACTGGTTTTGTAAACAAAACTCAAAACTTCAAAACAAAATATATTGAATTCACCCTCTATTAATATTTTTAATTAGGCTTTAAACTCAGATTCACGATCGTTTCATGAAAATTCCAATTAACCATTGTTTTTTTATATATTCAATTCATGAGACGCAACCAGCTATTTTCGGGCTTTGAGATAGCGAACTTCCAGGCATGGAGCAAACTCCAAACATTTATATGTTTGTATTTATGCCAAATGAGAATGCTTTGCGAAAAATTGCGATGATTGTAGCTTGGGAACAAAAAAGTCAAAAAATTTGGACCCCTCTGCCCCAAACGTGACAGCAATAAGTTGATAAAATATTTTTTGTATTATTTTTAACTAGACTTATATTCATCGATAAATTTTAAACTTTGTAGTAAAATATTTTAGTGTTCAAAAATTATAAACCTATAAATATTAAATCCCCCTCAATTTGAGGGGGTTGCAAATTTTATATTATCATAACTTTTGAACGCTGAGAGATAATACTAAAAAAACTTACAATTTATCGATGAATATAAGTCTAGTTAAAAATAATACAAAAAATATTTCATCAACTTGTTGCTCTCACGTTTGGGATAAGGGGGTCCAAAATTTGGGGCTTTTTTGTTCCCAAGCTCCAATCATTGCATTTTTATGGAAAGCATCCTCATTTGACATAACTATAAACATATAAATGTTTGGAGTTTGCTTCATGTCTGGAAGTTAGCTATCTCAAAGACCAAAAATTGATAGTTGCGTCCCCAGTGGGCACCCGACGTCAATCCGACGTCGGATTTACGTTTGATTTTCATCAGCGATGTCAAAAGACCTATTCCGACGTTGTTCCGATGTCAGTAAAATGACGTCGGGCGATGTCTTTATCTCAACATCCCCTGACGTCGTTTCGATGTATTTTGACGTTGTTCCGACATCTTATAAAAGACGTCCAAAAAACGTCGCAGTACTGACATCGATCCAACGTCGATATAAAAGACGTCCAAAAAACGTCGCAGTACTGACATCGATCCAACGTCGATAAAAAGACGTCGGGCAACGTCATAATGTTAACGTACTCCGATGTCTTTTGACGTCTTCCGACGTCAATCCAACGTCCTTAAAACGACGTCGGAACAACGTCGTAAGACATCGCTGATGAAAATTTAATCCAAACCCAACAATATGTGTGCAATTGCGCTCTTCAATAATTATGTGAACTAAGCGTGTTTTTTTATTAATGGAAAAAAGTTTGAATAAAGGTTGATAAAACATCATGAGGTTTTGTATGATGCACTAGCATAGTTTTTTAACTATTAACATTTTCAAGTATACATTTTTTATAATATATAACTATTCGTTTTAATATTTATATAATACTTAAACAAAATTATTTCTTATCAAAGTAATAATTCCCAAATAGCTACAAGTATAAATTACTAAATAAACTCATTAATTAATATGTCCTTGTGGTGTAGTGGTAAGCGCATAGGATTTAGTATCTAATAGACCGAGGTTCGATATCTGCTTAAGACAACGTTTTTTAGTTTTCAAAAAACACGTTGGATTTACATCGGAATGCCGACGTCGCGCGATGTCAGTTTATCCGACGTCAAATAACATTTCCATTTCCAACGTAAACCCAACGTCGATCCGACGTCGAGATCCGACGTCGCTCGACGTTCGTTCGACGTCGAAATGCCCACTGGGTCACTGTAAATTTTTAATGTTGAAGGAATGATTTTATTAAAAAACTTAATTTAAGTTTTATTTTTTTAATTACTTATATTTAGTTGAACGACACTATCATAAAACTGTTTGTGAAATATGTTAAACATTTTTATGCATGTTTGTAAAAACAATGAAATATACAACTAAAACATTAAAAGTAATTGACTCTGAATCTCTCGAACTCTTAAACGCAATAAATAAAGGCGGTATAATTCCGTTTGCTGCCTTATAAAACAAATACTCTTTGGTCACCCCTAGGTGTAACTAAACTGTATATTTCTTGAAAAGACAAGTTAATCATATAAATTAAACTTTTAAGCAAAATGTTATCTTAAAACATATAAAGTTTTTATGCTCTCTATTTAAGTACTAGTTGAGCTTGTTTCCGTTAAGTGATTTGTTCTCCTACAACTATGCCTTCGGCCACTTAAATAAACAAAGTTGAAAGGTTTGGTCATTTTAATGAAAATAGTCCAAGAGTTCCTGCTCCCATTACATTCTCAAACTTATAAAGGTATTGTGGTTTATCCTCTTCCGGCTAATTGCCATATAGAGGCCAAATAACATGACCCGTGAAGATAGGGGTAGGCTCTTTTGTCAAACCCCTATTCCGACGTTGAGCGTCCTTTGCGTCCGCGAGCTTGTATTTCTAGAAAATAGGCGAAATGGGGTATATAGGGATTTGCGCTGCGGTGTGCACATACACCGACTGATTTTTAGAGAGAACATGCAGCGGAGTGTGGAAACAACGACTGAGGGTTTGGAGTAGGCAGGTTCTCTTTTAAATAAAAAAGTCGTTTATTTACATTTTCGGACCTTAAGGACAGCGTCGGAATAACGGTTTGACAAGAGAGCCTTCCGAAGATAAGTTCAGCTCATTAAAATTTTTTTTTTTTTTTTTTTTTTTTTTTTGTATTGTGGTTTATTACGTCATCTAGCTATTTGCCTTAATGACGTCAATATCATAACATACGAGAAGGTGAAAAAACAAAGAGAATGTATAAAATATTTTCCGATTTACGAAGATATCCAAGGAATTTGTAAAGTTTAGAAATATCTTTAAAGAAAAAATAAGGTAAAATATAAATAAATGACAAACTCGTAATAAAACGTGTAAAAAAAACAAACAAAAAACAAAAACAAAAAATTACAATATATATATTTTAGAAATTTTGAATTAGTCAAAATTTTTACGTATATTAACAAGCAAATTTAGAGTACCAAGATAAAATTTATTTTATTTTTTTTGATTCATCTTTATATTTATTTTCCTCATTTTGATTAATAATTATATTCAGTTCATTTTTGAAAAAATATTTAACTTTACATTCAATTTTTTTAATTAAATATTTTACAGTAAATGTTTTATTTTAATTCTGTTACAAAATATTTCCATGACAAGAGTCTCCAACAAAATATAGTCAAACTCTCTACAGCCCGCGTTCGCGTCATATCCAAACAAATTAAGTTGAAAAGTGTTAATCAACATCATTTTATATGTGTATTTAAATACAACGCAATTAAATAGTTTTTATTTTAAATATTTTTATCGCATAAAAATATTCAAAATGGGTTGATTTATAATTTCTTCAATTTCAAAAAAAATTCAAAAAAATGTTACGATAAAATAATGAAAGATACGATATACTGTATAACTTACGGTTACTGGGGTATTGAACCTTTTTTTAATTTTATAAATGTTGTTTATTATTTGGCTATAAAATAATGGGAGCGCTTTAAGCTGCTAGGACTAGCTTGATTAGTTTCAAGAATATATTTATTTTAGTTTGCTACTCAATGAGAATTAAGTATGTAAAACAGCGCTTCATTCCAAGGGCTTTCTAATTTATTGCTGTGCATTTTAGATACCCAGTGTATTTTTACATGTTTATTAGTTAAATTTATTAAAAGAAGTCACTAAAGAGCCTTATAACCGTGAACTGATTGAATGGTCATTTTTGTTGAAAGTTTCCCGTTTATTATAGTATACAGTGCTATTTAATTACTTATGGTGGAATGTTTTACAAGGTGTCACGTCAATTACAAAAAATGAACTTGACTATGTTGCCAATCCAGTGTAGGTTTGTTTGCCGAAAGACAAAAGATACTGGGAAAATTCTTTGGATAGATAATAAAGTGAAACAATTTTTATCAAACACTTGTTTTCTTGTAACTAATATGTAATTAAAACTTTGTTTTTATTTTAGAACTAATTAATTAGAAATTGTTAGTTAGCAATTAACATCAACCATGAAATTAATGAATGCTTTCACGATTGTTGTGATTTCATCAGTGGCAAGTGGATGGAGCACTCTGGAAAAACCTGCGCCTAACAATAAATTGAATCAAGAAGCAGGTTTACTTAACATAAAAGATTTTTTACGTGTATTTATTTATTTATATAGAAGTAGATAAATTTTGGAATATATAAAACTTGTTTTTTTACTGTATGAATATATTACAATTCTATTTGTTTTAAACATGTTACAATGAAATTAGCTAGTCTGCTGAACCTGGTTCCTTAGATCACAAACTATCAAACATTACTTTGCTTGAAAACTTTAAAAAAAGTTTTGGTATAAAATAATATGGTAAAACCTGTTACAAACAAAATATCTTTTTCTGTTTATAATTTGTTTGAATGAAATGTAATGTTACAAAATATATGTTGCATATATTTTAGTGTCTGTCAGATATGACAAGGAGAATACAAATTTCTTAAATATTTTTTTAATTTGGACCAATTTTTATATAGTTTTTTTTTCCTCGTTATTTTTTGGCTTTTTCTGGATTTTCGGAGTGACAAAATGAAATTTAGGATCAACTTTATTGTCCATTCTTAATAGTTCTTAGCGACTTCAAGTTGAAAACTGCAACAATTTTCCCTGTTTGTTTTCTGTTTAGAGTCAACCCGGACAAAATGTTGGAGCTCTGATTTTTAAAGCAGACAGTTTTGTTGAGGATGTGATTCCAGTTATTAAAGGGTTTTTTTATACAAACTCCTTGAAATCAAAAACTCTACAGATTTTCTCAACATTTCTTTTCTCGTTTTTACGAGAAAAAATAATCTAATTTTGCAAAAAGCATTTGCAAAATTGAATAACGAATCAAATTTTCAAACAAAACACGAATTATCCGTTTTATAGAAACACAAAAGTCACTAAACCAAGATAATTCTAATAGTAATGTACTTTTATTTTTTTTTATTGCAAAACCATTTTGGAAATTCATTCTTAGAGTTCTAAATTGACAATGTTTGCTTTCTTTTTACTTTCCTTTACATTATTTACGCCAATTTGTTTGTTACGAACTAGAACAAGTATTAAGAAACTGTTTCTCTAGAGACCCTAAAAACGTATAAAAAAATCAATAGTTTTTAAAAGATAAAATGAAAATTTAAAAATTTAAAATTTTAAAATACCAGATTAGCTGATTTTACGGTACACACTTACTTAATTTTACGACTACCCTGAGTTTACGTACATATTTACTCAGCTCTACGATCATGCTGAGTTCACGTACACGCTGACTTTCTTTTACAATTACGCTAAGTTAACGGTACATACTTAATTTTACGGTACTTATATACAATATATCGTTTCAGTTACTAGCTTTAACTTATACGGTATATTGTATCTTGAGCATTCCCAGTAGGCACAATATGCAATATGTTCGTTTTACGTCTTAAGGAAGTCTTAGGAACTTGTGACGACTTTAAGATGTTGTATAGGCGATTACGGACGTTGGTGCCCGCTGGGTTTAGTTAATGAAATTAATCTATTTAAATTATTATTTTTATATTCCTTTTCTTTTTAGCGGGAGTATTGGAAGGTAATAAATTTTTTTATTTCTCATCAAATATTAAAAGTGTTAAATGTATTTGGAAGAATGACTAATTACAAGAAGGCTTTACATAGCGCATTACTGCGCGTTTTTGTTTGAAGAATTTCGTTATACGGTCTTTTTTAAATCATGTTAAAAAAAATTATTGCACAAATAAAGAGGTAAAACATTTTTGATTGAAATACATTTAAAAAGTTCAAATCACACTTCGCATGCGCTGTTTCCTTAAAGTAGGAGATTTACTTCTATTTTTTTAAGAAACAGTGAATGCACATGTTTACCGTATTTTATAGCATTTATATCTTTATATTAAATACTTCATATATATAGTAACTATATTCTATTGTAATAAATATCTGATAAGCATTTTGCACGTGATCACATTTACTACAATTAAAGCTCAAAGTAAATTAAAATTAATAAATTTTAAAAATAAAATTTTTTCATTTTTGAGTTTAAATAATAAAGCATTATTTATTTATATTTCAAATTTTGTTAGCTTGTTCTGACGCATTTGAATCCTGTTATTTATTTGCAAATGAATGTGGGAAAAGAAGTGTGAAACTACAGTGCCCAAAAACTTGTGGGTTATGCCGTAAGTTTTTAACATTTTGTTTTTAAGTTATTACAAAATATTAAATTATTTTAAAACCAATTAAGAAGTTTGTTATTATAATTATTTATTATTGGTATATTACAGTAAGTACCATAATCATATGTATTATAACCATAAGGTTGATGTAATATAAGATATCGGTTTATATTTATTGTAAATAAGCTCATACAAAAGATAAATATTTTTAGAGTAATCTTCAACTCCTTCTACTTTTGTGAAACATGCCCACTAAAAACCCAGGCGTTTTTTATAACTCTTTTAAAAAGTCACATCTACAAGATGTTTTACATCTAAAAACATCTTTTATATCATGGAACTTCCATGTTGTTGTTTTTTTTGACTTTTAAGTTATATGGATTCAAGGTATTTTGTAACATCACTCAATTATTCATTGTAAATGTGATAGAACTTTACAGAGCGCCGATGATGAAAAAAAATATACTCTGGTATTGCCAAAGTCAACTAAGTTTATTAGACCAAGTTAGCATATATTGTTTAAGTGATGTGAGATTTTTAAGTTTTAATTGAGCTTATAGGCTCTATAATAATAATAGATCCAATAGAAGACTGTAGTATGTATAATTAAAACATATCATTGGTCGTTTTAACTAAAGATAAATATAATTATAAACTCAATGAATTACAAGTTGAATAAAATAAACTCATTACATTATTTTGTACTTTATTGTATGAATATAAAATATTACGGCAAAGATAGTATAAATATTAAAATAAACACGTGATACATAAGCATTAAGAGTTTTTCGGTCAGAGAATTTCAATTTTTGTTCAATTTTGGTTTGCCGATTTTTCTATGTAGAGCCTTGCATCACTCCCCAAAGTTGTAAACAATAGATAGTTCTAAGAAATGATATATAAATTTAGATAAATCAATATGCTTTTTTTTTTCTTTGCCCTATCATAATATTTACAATGAAATAAATCAAGCCAGTATGTTAGAGATCGTTGGAGCAAAACAAACACATATATTGTGATATCACCAAGCTCTCTTTATATTGTCTGTTGTCATTTATTAATTAAATAAAAAAAAAAAATGATTAAAAAAAATTGTCAAAGTTTTGAAAAATATAAAGGATTTTTATTTATTATAAATTACACGTTCGACGTCATATAAGTCAGAAACTTGGCATGACTTATGAGTCCCAAGTCAAGTCGAATTCTAATTACAGTTTGTCAAATTACAAACAAATTAGCCAACCACGAGTACGCAATAAAAAAGGCGAAGGAATAAGTGTTTACGTACTTAAAAAGTACGTAATTAAAAAAAAAAAAAAAGTAATTAAGTGTTGCAAATAATAACTATGAAAGACTTTTTTTTGAAGTAATTAATGCAAATAACAAAAACATTATAATTGGGTGCGTTTACCGACCTCCTAGTGGTAAAGTTTGATAATTTCAAGATTTTATAGAAAAAAGTATTTTAAAAATAAACAAGGAGAAAAAAGATTATTTATCCTTAGTGACACAAATTTGAACCCCCTAACATATCATAAATTTCCTTAAACATCTTAAAAATCTTTTTTGGCATTTCATATAAATAAAATGGTTTGCCAGTAATTAATAAACCGACTCGAATAAATAGAACATCTGCAACTACAATAGATTTTTATCAACAATTAATTAGAAACATCATTTGAGGATTCATTTAAAACTGATATTAGTGATCATTTCCCAATATACATTAACAAAAAACATATAAAATTTATTCCAAATGATCAACCCAAAATTTTGAATTTAAATAAACGCAACCTGTTAAGTTTTAGTAAAAAAAATCTATCGAACAAATTATATATAGAGAATTGCGATGTTTATAAGTGTCAAAATGCAAATGAAGCATGTAATTTATTTTTAAACAAATTTCAAAAGATTTTTAATGAAGCTTATTCTAATGCAGTATTAAAAATAAAAACAAAACACTTGCTAATCCCTGAATAGTTAAAACATTTTTAAAATGCTCTAAAACCAAACAAAAATTGTATAATAATTTCTTTAAAATAAAAGCACAACTAATAAAAAAAATTATGAAACATAGAAATACTTTTATATTGATCTTCTGAAAAAAACTAAATAAAATTATTACAGTGAACAATTTACTAAATGCAAGCTTGGTACTAAAAAAATATGGGTGTGTGAGTACTAAAAAAATTTGTTACTAAAAAACAAAGATTTATATGAAAAAAATAAAAATAAAACTTCTTCGCTACTAAAAAGGAATCAAAAAAAATAATAATAATATAGACGTTTAAAAGACGTCGTTTAAACGTCTCTTACACGTTTTGGACGTTTTTTAAACGTTCAAAAGACGTCTTTTTTTGGTCCAGTACGCACTGGGTATGTCCTGAAGAAATATCTAAAGAATTTAATATATATTTCACAAATGTTGGGACTTGACCTAGCTAACAAAATTATACCATCATTATAATCTCGCAAGTAGTTCCAATTTATAAAGATATAAATCACTCGAATGTTTCCAACTACAGACCTACATCATTGCTTTTTGTATTTTCGAAGATATTCGAACGTGTAATTTATATTAGAATCTCTGACCATTTTACAAAATTTTTTTATCCAAAACAATTTGGATTTCAGAAAAATCATTCAACTGAACATGCGATTATTGAATTGTTGGACAAATAAATTATGGCTTTAATGAAAACAAGTTTACCTAGGTATATTTATTGTTCTAATTAAGGTTTTAAAACCTTTGATCATTGCATATTGTTAGAAAAGTTAAAGTATTATGGGGTAATATATAAGGACTACAATTGGAATAAAAGTTATATTACTCATAGAAAACAATATGTTCAAAACAAGGAATACGAAATACTTAAAATCCAATGTGGAGTACCACAAGAATCAATACTTATTTTTAGTTTATATAAACGACTTAAGTAATGCAATTGTCAAACTAAACCCAATTAAGTTTGCAGGTGATATAAATTTCTTTCTTTCCAACCATAGTATCAAGCAAATTTATGCGGACATAAACTTGGAATTAAATAAGATAAATGATTGGTTTAAATTATCAGATCTATTTTTCAATAATAAAGAAATAAAACAGGAAGACTCTGTAAAGTTCTGCAATCTGCGAAACTTAAAAAAATACTTTGTGTTCATAAACATGGGTGTAGAATTATACAAGGGAAAAAGCGAGGGAAGCACTCTTAATCCTTAATGAGAGACATTAAAATAATGAATATTTTTGACGATATTTTTTTTTAAGGTGCTCCACAGTGGTTTAGAAACACTTAAAGTTTGGCCAATAGTTTTTTGAGTTGCGCAGTTTAAATAATATTATTAGCTAACTATTCTCTACAGTTTCTTATGATTCTAACGGTATAAAAAATAAGTACTGAAATTATAGGTTTAAACGTTAATTTATGTTTGAAAGTGACCAAAAATAGCTTTTTTTTTTATCATTAAAACTTTTTCATTATTTAAACTTAATTTTCTCCCTAAATGCAAAAGGTTTAGGGAGAAACATTTTTAAAATTTTGATTTTATACAAAGATAATAGACAATTTTATCTTAATTTATAAAAACAAATTGAATATACTTATTCATCTTGTTAGTAATGGTAATAATAAACTGAACTTTATAGAGCTAGGATTTTTTACCTTCAACTTCCTTCGCAAAGCCAATTCTTTTTTTAAAGAGAGTTTGTATCATTCTATAAAAAACTAAATAGTTAGCTGCCCGAAATTGTCCCATTTTGAACTAATGTGGTTTTAAAAAGCACATTTAACAAAAAAATTAGCGGCTTAAAAGCTAATACGACGCAAATTAACTTTAATTTTTATATTTTGAATTTTTTTTCTGACGTTTCTGAACAATACTTTGAATATATATATAAAGTGCCGGATTAAGGGTGCGCTAGGGAAGGCTATTGCCCCGGGCCCCGCAAATTTAGGGCTCTAGCCCATTTAGTTAAAGTTTAAATCCGCCACTGTGTATTTATATATATATATATATATATATATATATATATATATATATATATATATATATATATATATATATATATATATATATATATATATGCATGTATAAGTTAATGTCATTTTTCTTTCACTTAGTAAAATGAATATAAAGTTTACTAAACATTAACTTTATTTAGTTATTAAATACAGAATCTTGATTAATAGAAATGAATTAATTTAAAATTTACTTTAAAAAAAAAAATTAGGTAAAAATTAATGAAACAAGTCTACAGAAAATCCAGAAAAAAACAAAAATTTTTATGCTTACAAAAGTAGGGAGAAGCACGTTGGCCCGCGTTTTTTTCCTTTGATGTTTAACTTTTAGATTTTTTATTTTTTCAGATATTTTATTTTTTTATGAAAAAGGATTCATAAGACCTTAGAGTACCCATAAATAACATTATTAAAAAATCATAATCGGTTTTTATTATAAATATTAAACGTAAAATCTTTATTTATTCAATTCTTATTATTTACCTCGAGTTTGTTTTTTATTTTCAAAACATTTCAAAACACAAAATATTATTATCGGAAATGAAAACAAGTTAATTTACAAAAAGAAACTGTTAAGGATTGATTTTACAATATGGTTAACGTGCCCCATTTGAATTAGGCCATTTTGTCCCATCCTAATGTTTAGAGCAAGGCCGGCGCGATAGGGGGGTGTGACACCCCCCCCCCCCCATCAATGATTTTTAGTTGGCAAATTGGACCCTTTTAGACTAGTTAGTCGGCAAATGTCGACCCTTTCGATATAGGTTAGTCGGTAATCTAGACAGTCGGCAAATATCGTCATGGCAGTCGTCAAATTTTGGAAACCGAGGACCCTTTTTTTTTTTTTTTTTTAGTCGGCAAAATGTAATGGCACCCCCCCCCTCCACGTGACACCTACTCGCACCGGCCCTGGTTTAGAGTATAAACGCTTTTAATCTTAAACCATTAACTAATATCGGTTAACGTTATATACTAAAATAGTTCTTAAAATATGAGCTTTAAATTTGGAATTTTGGCCGTACTGTCGAACATCAGTAAGCATCTTAACAAACTGTTTAAAATTGAGTTTAACGTATTGAAAATTATTGAAACGGCCCCACACTTCTAACTATGATCCAATAAATGTAATATTTTAAAAGAGGGTTGAAAAACTATAAACCTTTACTTAGATTCCTAGCTTGCTAAAGCACATAGTCTTTAAATAAACTTGACTGGGACAACCTGCTCCTATGGCCAACATGTCCCGGTCTACACTACATTGTTCCTTTAAGGCGTACAAAACACTTTTTGGGTTTCCAAGTAAATTGTTTATAGGTTTAAAAAAAAAAGAAAAAAAAAAGAATTTAAATCTTTAATAAAAATATAAAGATTTAAAATTTAATAAATTCAAAAATTTTAAAAATCTTCAAAGTTTTGACAAACATGATATAGTAGATCGTTAAATGTTCACGAAGTTATAAATTAAAAATTTAGAATAAAAGTGCAGAATTTTAGTTTTATTTACACTTATAGATATTTAAATATTTAAAGGTGCTGTTTATCCCATGTCCTGTCATGCAAGTGAATACGGATGTTGCTGGGATAGCATAACTTTATCAGGGCCCAACGGAGATGGCTGTCCAGGTAAAATGCTTTAATTTTATTTATTTTCATTATAAATTAAACTTATTTTTGTCATAAATTAAACTTATTTATTTTTTAAACATATATGTGATTTATCAATAACAATAAATAATAAATATATATGTAATTTATCTATTTAAGTTTGTGAAGACAAGTTGAGTGGATGTCCCAAGTTAAAGTACAAATGCTTTAGTGATGCAGTAAAACAAGCCTGTCCTTTTACATGCAATGTAAAAGATTGCGTTTTTACATCTGGTAGGTTTCCGAAATTAATATTAAGAAGTCTTTTGATGTTCTTTGATGTATTATTTTTTTTGGTTTTGCGATGTTATCTTTACTATATTAAAGATATATATTTAATAAATTACTTGTTTACGTTATATATTAGTTAAGTGTGTGAACAAATAAAAGTTTTACCTTTTCATACATTTTTACATAGATTTATTGAATTTATATATTTATAAGTTTAATAAACTTAACTCAAAACTTATATATGTATATATATTGGCACTTGAGGATTATTGAAATTTATTTCATGAGCAAAAAATCATTGTGCAAGTTCAAGCAAAAAAACAGTCGTCTCTCTTTTGGCTTTTCATAAGCAAAGAAAAATATTTTCTGAATTCATCGCGATTTTTTGCTTTATTTGGCATATTGTGACACTGTGCATAACTTGCATATTGTGACACTGTGTGTAGATCATAATAAAAACATTTATACAAATTATTCAACAGATTATTTAATGATTGTCGGGCACAATAAAAACATCAATAAAAAGATATCGAATCAATAAAAAAGTATCAAATACTGATGAGGATATCAATCTTAAATATGAAAATTTATGAGGAAATGAGGAAGTTTTTGAGTTAAGTTTTATGTAAAAACTTGTTTCTGGTTGCAAAATCATTTTTGACAGTTTTGAAAAAGCTTTTTGTAAGCTTTTTATTAACTAAAGATTAATTTTACCTTCTTTATTTTTAATATTCAAAAATGATAAGAATCCGAATTCTAACTTGACTTTATTATTAAATTCATCAAACTTTTATAAATTAGTTTTTTTTATAGGTCATTGTGAAGATGATCCACAGCAAGCTCATTACTGTGAGTTATTTAAAAATAGTGGTTTTTGCCAAAACGACATACCCCTTATGGTAAAGGTGTGTAAAAAAACATGTGACCTGTGTGCTTATGGTAAGTTTTATTACAATCAGTTATAGGTACATTTAATGTTGTTATAACATCTTTATTAAGATTGTTGCACCATTTTGGTGGAAAGACGGTTTTAATGCACAATTCGTGACCCTACCACGTGATTGGTTATGAGAACTGGTAATCACCACCTATGATTGGTTATGAGATATTTAATCTATCATCTTTAAGTAATAGATGAAATAGCTAAACTTGTAGAAAATAAATCACGTTTTTTTTTTTTGTCGCATACATATGATATATAAGTATATGCCTACAAATTCAACTACTTTCGATAGAGCTTAGTAAATTAATTTTTAGATTCATAAAATAAGAAAAACATTTTTAAAGTTACAAAAAAAAAAAACAACAACAAATAAGTCAATAAGTTAGTTGAAAAAGCTTTAAATAAATTATCAAATCTAGTTAAATGGATGTGTGGTACACATCCATTTAACTAGATTTGATAATTTATTTAAAACTACCAAAAGGTAGTTTTAAATAAATTATCAAATCTAGTTAAATGGATGTGTGGTACACATTCATTTAACTAGATTTGATAATTTATTTAAAACTACCAAAAGGTAGTTTTAAATAAATTATCAAATCTAGTTAAATGGATGTGTGGTACACATTCATTTAACTAGATTTGATAATTTATTTAAAACTACCAAAAGGTAGTTTTAAATAAATTATCAAATCTAGTTAAATGGATGTGTGGTAACTATTTTGTTAATACAAACTAAATGTCTCATTTGTCTCAGCTAGAAATAAGTTATGAAACCACAGTTTTAGCTGCTACAGACACTAAACCAACGTAACACGAAGTTAGTGTAAAAGAAGGCGGAGAAGCTTAAGACTATGCATAGTTAATTTGAACAAATTATTTAATACTGTTTAAATAAAATATTAAATACTGTTTAAATCGATTATTAAATACAATTATTTAAATAATTTGTTTATTATTTTTAAATTAAATTTTGTTATGCATTACTTTTTCTTGCTTGTATTTTTTTATTTGTATTCAAAATCTTACGTTTATTTTAGTTACGAACCCTGATGAAGCAAATCCAGCGAAAAAATCTGAAGAAGATGAGCTAATTGAAAAACTTCAAAAACAAGTTGAAGACGCTATAGCAAAAAAACAATCAAACTTTGAGCCTCTGTTTAAAGAAAACGAACCCAAGATTGACACCAAAGCTAACTTGCAAGAGTTTCTTGAAGAGAAAATTCGACAAGAAAAATTGGAACAAGATAAAAAAGATATAAACACGGACTTAACAAAAAAATCGCAAGAGTACAAAAAAAATGTTCAATCTGAAAGCACCAATAAAGAAGCTGAAAATACAATTAAACAATTGGATACTACCATGATGCAAGGCGAAAATAACAACAAAAAATCAGAAGATATCGAAAAACATCACGACAGTTCTAACACACCGGGATCTAATAAAGAAATCGATCAGTTTTCGATTAAAATTATATCCGTAGAAGACAAAAGAGCTGAACCTGAGAAAAAGGAAAGCAAAGAATCTCGTGAACACAATAACAATGGTTTACACAACATAATAGAAAATTCAAACGTCACAGTAGAAAACTTGGAAACGGAAAAAGAAGCTGAAGAGTCTTTGCTCGAATTGATCAAAAAAGAACAAAAGAAAAATTCAGAGAGCGCATCAGAGATATTAAAACGTCTAAATGAAGTTGTAGATGAAACAAAAACAAGAAAATTTTCAAGGAAAGATCCGGTGATCATAAAAAACTCTGAGACAGATACCCTTTTAAAAATGATAGAAGATCTACCGCTGACAAATATGAAAGATATTAAAAAAAGTTCTGCAAATGAAAACGAGGAAATAATCAATACACTTAAAGAAAAAATGAATAGTGAAAAGCTTGAACGATATCAAATTGCAAAAATGGAAGAAGACGCGGCATTATTGCAACTTTTAGAAAAAGATGAAGCAACTAAAAAAGCTGCGCAAGATGCACTAAACTCGATTACTTCTATGTAAAATAAAAAGATGTAAATAAGATTAGCATTAAAAAACGCAAAGCATTCCGGTCCTTTTTTAACGCCTTTAACGAAGTATATTGACTTTTATAAAACAACTTTAACGTTTGCGAAAAATACTTGTTTACTTTATTTAAATAAAAAATGTTTTAGTTTTTAATTGATACCGTATGATGTACTAAGTTAATAATATGAAGAAAAATTACTTTTGAAGTTAGGCCAGTCTATTTTATGATTTGTTAATATAAAATCTAGTTGAAAAGTCTTATCAAAATGGGTGACAATCACAATGCAGTTCTAATGTTGACTATTATTCAATTTAATCAGTTCAAATAGCGTTTAAAACAAACGAATTTTGATTATAAATCTAACCACTAGCTAAACTTATAGTCAAAATTAGTTATAAAGTATTAAGCGTATCTGAGTTATGAGTTTTAGCGTATCTGAGTTATGAGTTTTAGCGTATCTAAGTTATGAGTTTTAGCGTATCTGAGTTATGAGTTTTAGCGTATCTGAGTTATGAGTTTTAGCGTATCTAAGTTATAAGTTTTAGCGTATCTGAGTTATGAGTTTTAGCGTATCTAAGTTATAAGTTTTAGCGTATCTGAGTTATGAGTTTTAGCGTATCTGAGTTATGAGTTTTAGCGTATCTGAGTTATGAGTTTTAGCGTATCTGAGTTAAGAGTTAGAAATTGTTGTGATTTTGTAACATGTTAAATGAAATAATTTCTTTTTTTTAATAGGGGAACACTTTATGGTGTTAGCGAGTTCGAGTAGCAGTACTATGTAATGTTTAAGGCGCATATGTTTAACTACAACAATTAACTTTTACCTGATAAAATAATGCCATGCCATATATTTATATAAAAGAAGATGGTAATGATCTTTACGACAAGATAGTAAGGATCTTATCTTAAGATGCTTAAGACAAGATCATTACTATCTTGTCGTAAAGATAAGGTACTTTACGACAAGATAGTAAGGATCTTGTCTTAAGATGCTTAACACAACAGCATTTCTCTTTTAAACATTAAAGATTTAACCTTCCAAATCGTAGCGATTCAAGATAAACACTATTTAGGGTAAACTGATCAAGTTCTGACCACTTTGCCTTTATTATTTATGAAAATATTTTTTCATTAGGTAATATAAACAAATAAATTCGGATTTAAATAGGTTACTTAACGATGAATACAATTTTAGAAAGTTAAAAAAATTAAATTTAACATGTGTTTAGGCATCAATTTATTAGATGCTAGCTAAAAGACCCATTTCTGGCCATTTGAACTTAATTCTGATTGTATAAAGAAATTCACAAATTAAAAGAATTATTGCATGGATGATACAATTTTAACAATATTATTTTCCAATATTACTTGCAATTGGAGCAATTTACAAACGTTTAAGAACTTAAATGTAATCATAAAAACTTTGAAAGTACCAAACGTTGAGTTTACGGAGATAAAAAAGTTTATTAAATATTTTAAGTAGAGATGTGCCGGAACCAGTTTATGCCGAGTCTCCGATTCCGGGTACCCGGCTGAAAAAACAGGGTCCGAGTCCAGGTACTCGGCACCGAGTCCATTTTTTAAAAGTTGGAATAAAATCTTGTGAAATCTCTAGCGCTGAACTATTCACACAAAATACGCTTTTTATGCTAACTAACCAAAAGTTATGTGGCAGAAGTACCATTTAGCAAAACCCGCAATGCAGGGTACAGGGCCTGAGTTGTAGGGCCTAACTTTTTTCAAAAGTTGTGCAACAGTTTTTTAATAACTGTATTTAGTTTAAAATTATTTTTCTTTCCTGGTGGAGCGGGCCTAAATAATATTTTGTTATAATTATTGTCGAAATTAAAATATAAAAAATGTGTGTAATATTTACCTTATATCTCTACTTTTTTTTTTTTTTTATTATTTAATTCACCTCCTCAAGGCCGAGAAGGCCACTACAGACAAGGAGGCTACTTATTTGTGGCTGTAGCCCTCTCTCAACTCTATAACTCCGAAACACGAACCTTGATGAACAAGGCCGCTGCGCGGAGAAACGAGTTGAGCGCGGTACTACCAGGGACGTGGTGGGGATCGAACTCCGAACCACTCGTTTATGAAGCGAGCGCTCTACCACTACACCACTACCGCATTATGATTTTTGCTTGATTTGAATGAAAAGTGGTATCAGAGTTCGAAAGCATTATAAGCGTTTCATTCAAAACTGCATTGCTAAAAATTGTGTTCTAACAGAATAAAAAGAAGCTATTCTAAAACTTTTTTTCCCATTCTTTTTATTCCTATTCTCGAATTATTTCATTTAGCGTTACAGTTTTTGTATCCGTATAAATTATTTTGCAAAAATGTATTTAAAAATATTTTAAGTGAGATTGTTTTAAGTTAATAGAACTTTGTGGTTATCGACTACATAACATTTTTAGACTTATATCAAGAAGTTTAATGGTTAAAGTTTAAATTTAAGAAAAAATCAATTTGAAGATACCCTGTGCCGGGTACTGCAACAAAATGGCCGATACCGGGTACCCGGTAAAACAGCCGAATTGCCGGGTCCCCGGGTCCGAACCGGGTACCCGGCACATCACTAATTTTAAGTATGTTTTCAAAGCAAAAAACTGAAATATTATTTTTTTATTTTATAACGGAACAATCCAACTCTTTATTAATGACTTGGTCAGTTTACTCTACTTCAAATGCAAATCTTTGTGATCCATGGCCCACTGCAACCGTTGTGTTTGTTGAGCATTGGTCAAGAGCGATTTTTTGCGTAGCCGACGTGTTACAAATTCATCTTGAATCAGACATCTCCAAACATAACTTGTTAAGAAATTGATCTATTGCTCCTGCAGCTGCAGCTCTTGGATCCTGGAGCTGCTTGCTTACCATTCTTCTGTTTTTTTGACAGTTTGCAAACAGAAACCGTCTTGCACACGGCGTCATGGCTGGTTTTCGGCCTGAAATGGAACGTCTTGGAGAGAACGTAAAACCATTGTTATTGTTGGAAAAAGTTTCCAACAATAACAATGCTTTAACTTTGCCTTGCTTTCTGGGACTAGGGTCAGCAACTTTACCCATATTTTGAAAATATAATATAATCTGACAACAAATTATTCTTAAATAATCAAAATAACATATCTAAAATCAGAAAAATATTAAACTGTATCACTATCAACAGCAATAATCTAACAAATATTCACTTAAAGGTCATTTGAACCATACATATTCACTTGACCGCAACTTACATTTCACATTGTAAAATATACCAAATATTGACTAAAACACATAATTCTACAATAAAAGTTAACTGATTCAAATTCAATTCAATAATTTCAATACTCAGCCACACCCACAGGATGTTGATGATAAAATAAAGCAGTGCTGCCATTTTTTTAGAATCTAAAAAGTGGTATCAACTAATAAAAAAGCCTTTTTTCTCATTGGTCTTAATATTTTTCACACCACTGTAAATTGTTTTCCATGGCATTATAAAGTTTATTATAACATTTTTTAGTTTAAAAACAAAATTCTAATATAAAACAATACTCTAATTTTTCAAAAAATAGTTTTTAAAAAATAACAATCCATTTGACATTTTAAAACTCATTTTACTTTAAAGGTCAAGGTGATCCGTTTTTGTACGGGAACGGGATAGGGAAGGAAAAAATAATTACGTGAGCTTGCGTAATTTTCCTTCGGACAAATTAAAGTTTATACGACGCATGCCCGCGTGATTATTTTTTCCTTCCCTTTCCCATTCCCGTAAAAAAACGGAAGAGTGGAAACTGACCTTAGGTGGAAAAGTTATCATCAACACAAAACGTTCTTTCGCTGGAGGTTGAGTTGTGCTGAATTGTTTTGGAGGTTAGTGGAAAAGTTATTAGCATCACAAAGCTGGTTTTCTCTGGATGTTGTCGTAGGCTAAATTGTTTTAAAGGTTAGTGGAAAAGTTATCTGCAAAACAAAACGTCCATTCGGTTGATGTTGAAGTGGGCTGAATTGTTTTGATAGTTAATGGAAAAGTTATCTGCAACACAAAACTTCTATTTATTGGATGTTAAAATTACGCTAGTTTATTGTAAAGTTTTCCTCTTGTATGTTGATAGTTTCTTTGGTATCGCTAAAGCTTTTTTCTAAATTTAAAGTTTTTGATTTATTGATCTTAATTTCATTTTCGAGTTTATCAAGTCTATGGGTGATAACAATCAGTTTCTTAAGGAATATATATTTTTTGTTCTTCAAATTTTGTCGTTATAAGTCGTTCAATGTCGTTATAAGTTGTTCAATGTTTTTTATTTTAACTTTTAATTTAAAACTAAAACAAAATATCGCTTAATTTTGAAGATTTGATTAATTTAAAAATAATTCTGATAACAATTCTGATATTACAGGTAAATAATGTGTATCACCGTAAAGTTATTTTCAAATAAACTCCAAATAAAAAGATTCAAAGAAAAATAAGTAAATAAATAAATTTGCTCAGAAGAGATTAAAAAAATCAATAAATGTTGTTAAGTAGAACATCTATTATAACAAGGTTGTTTTGCGAGCTTTTTCCTTTGTAAAATTACGGATTACTTAATCGAAGTCTACAAGTTTTGCGATGTCAAACTCAATACTTAACCTTAGCTTGTTTAAATTTGTTAAGGCGATCCTGACTCATGACGGACCTGACTCATGACGATCCTGACTCATGACGGACCTGACTCATGACTCATGATTTTTTAAAAGTTTAAGTATACTGAAGATTCTTTCTAAGCTTATGCTAATGTTGTTGGTGCTGTAAGGAATATCCTCAAACTGTCACTTTGGTTTAAGCTTATGCTAATGTTGTTGGTGCTGTAAGGAATATCCTCAAACTGTCACTTTGGTTTAAGCTTATGCTAATGTAGTTGGTGCTGTAAGGAATATCCTCAAACTGTCACTTTGGTTTAAGCTTATGCTAATGTTGTTGGTGTTGTAAGAAATATCCTCAAACTGTCACTTTGGTTTAAGCTTATACTAATGTTGTTGGTGCTGTAAGGAATATCCTCAAACTGTCACTTTGGTTTAGAAATATACTTTATAGTTTGCACTCTGTCAAAGTATTTAACATTTTCAGTGCACCCAATTGATTTGTATCAAAATGGTTATGTGAATTCATATAGCACTGAATTTGGTTAATTTGAAAATGGCTATGTGAAATTCTCCTCTGACTTTTTTTTGGTAGTTC